CCATGTTCTTAATATGCTGTTGCATCTTAAGAATTGTGCTCAGTTTTCGTTTTTTCTTTAAAAAAAGAAACATGAATATTCCACCGATATCGGACTAATTTTACGTGAGTATAATGTTAACACATGCACATGTAAGGTAAAGATTTGCGTGCCTGACCTGAAAGTGTGTGTGTGTGTGTGTGTGTCCGTTGGGGGATGTTGACTTTCACATGACATTGACGCTCTGGAAATGTTGAGTAGCTGCTGATCTCAGACAGTCGTTGCTCGGTGGATTCAGCACCACTCGCCCGTGGACAGCTCCCGCAGGACCCGTTTACATGGACAGAAGGCTCATTTACGTGCCAACTCATTCTGGAAGTTTACAACTTGGAGAGGAATCCACGGATACCTCACTGCATGACACACGGGCACATTGCTTTTGGGAAAGAAGCCAAATTCACTGTAAGTAGATACGAGAATGTTGGAAATGATTTTCATTTCATTAAAATGTCTCCAGTGTGTGTGTTTGTTTGTGTGTGTGTATATAAATGCATTCAATAAAATGGGTATAACAATAGTAAATGCACCAAAACACTGTAGAAACAATTGAGAAGCTGGCAGATCGTTCGATCGAATAAATAAAAAAATTAAAAAGACATATCTTTAAACTGACTGTCATGACAGACAATTCTGTCTCAATTCGAGACGGCAGATTTCTTAGTGTTTTAGTGTGTCGCCTTCGATTTCAAACAGCGGACTGCCTTTACGGGGAAAACACTGGTTTCGTGTGATTCGCTGTCTTCAGGTGAACTGAAACTGTGTCGGGTTTGATCGGGTGTGTGCGTGGTGGATCTCTGCTGCTGTCTGAAATCAGAGACATGGCGACAAACAACACCAAAAACACCGATGGACAAGTTGTGACGGAACTCAACGAGATCACAACTAACGACAAACCCAAAGCAGAGGACGGCATTTCAGAGAAAACGAAGAAAGACATTCCAGACAGAGAAACTTGGGGTGGGAAATTTGATTTTCTCCTGTCATGTGTGGGCTACGCCATCGGACTGGGCAACGTGTGGAGATTTCCTTATCTGTGCGGGAAAAACGGCGGAGGCATTCCTTGTCACATGAATGTTTCGGTAATTATTCTTGGGGTATTTTTTAAATAAATAATAATACAAAAAAGTAAGCATCCTTCTGCTCTTTGTAGGAGCTTCCATGGAAATCGTGTAACAATCCATGGAACACAGACAGATGTTACACAAACTACAGCATAGTAGACACCACCAATCTCACCAGCGCTGTCATGGAGTTTTGGGAGTAAGATTTTGGGCAGATTGATGTGCATGGCCTTCTTTGACCGTTGTACATGAAATTACATAATACGTGTGTCCAGTAAGTGTCTTGTTGTGAAGTGTAATTGTGTTGCATGATGTGCTTATACAGACGCAATATGCATCAAATGACTGATGGCTTAGAAAAACCTGGTGAAATTCGTGTGCCACTTGCAATAACACTGGCCATTGCCTGGGTCCTCGTGTACTTCTGTATCTGGAAAGGTGTTCGCTGGACTGGAAAGGTGAGATGTCTTTGTTGGTCTGTCTTCAAGGATTCGGTCTGGAATTTGAGTGAGTTTGAAATGATTTCACCGCATTGAATGTAAAGCATACATGGTTGCAATTAAATTTTGCTTAAGGAAGCAAAACTGCTCTGTGGGGATTTTTGTCCCATGAAAGCAATGTACAATATTTCCAGCTTTTTTTTTTTTTACAGACATTCTCATGCTGAACAAATGCACATGGGGAAATGTCTGATAGAGAAATCAATGTTTTGCAGGTTGTTTACTTCTCTGCCACCTACCCATACTTCATGTTGTTCATTTTGTTTATCCGTGGAGTGACCCTGCCTGGGGCTAAAGATGGAATCATGTTCTATGTCACTCCTGATTTTGAGAAGCTGAAGCAGTCTGAGGTGATTTTACATGTTTCATCATTTAAGCAGGATCAAACAAACCCAAGCTAGCTGCTAAACAGTTTCATTTTCCATCTCAGGTTTGGCTGGATGCTGCAACACAGATTTTCTTCTCCTATGGTTTGGGTCTAGGCTCTCTTATTGCTCTGGGCAGCTACAACCCTTTCAATAACAATGTGTACAGGTATGAATGATACAGTGACATAATCTTTCAACATTTCATCAATTAGAAAGCTCAACCCTGTTTCAGTGTTTCAGGCCCCTAAACTTTGATTTTAACCCTGACCATTTCTTTTTTTTTGATGCTGTGAATAATGTTTGTTTGAACAAGCCAGATCTCTAACTGTGACTGACTGTGATTATGTGCCCATTATCAGACTTGACATTTTAGCATATGAATAGCGAGAATTACCATCAAATTTAATTTGAAGTTTGGCTATATCACTTACATAATCCATCTTCTCCTTAAATGCTAAAATGATAGCTTTCAGATCAGTTAGGAATATGACAAAGACATTTAAAGCACATTTGAAGACAGAACCCCCCCCCCGCCTTTTTTCTGCAGGGATTCTATCATCGTGTGCTGTATAAATTCCTTCACTAGTATGTTTGCTGGATTTGTGATTTTCTCTATTGTGGGCTTCATGGCACATGTGACAAAGAGACCAATAGCTGATGTAGCTGCATCAGGTAATCCGTTCATTTTGAAGTTTTGGTATTTCAAATTTTTATATCAGTTGAAGTATGAAGTATTGTTAATTTCAGATAACAATTTTTTTTTTCTCATGGCTTACACAGGTCCTGGTTTGGCATTTTTAGCTTATCCAGAAGCTGTGACGCAGTTGCCCGTCTCACCACTGTGGGCTATTCTCTTCTTCTCCATGCTGCTGATGCTGGGAATCGACAGTCAGGTGAGAATATCACATATTCAAGCTCTGACCTAGAAACAGAAGTGAACGGGATCTGGTAGATACTTCAGATCTGCCAGCATCAGTGGCGGAGTCCCTGGCGACCACACAAGGAAACATGAGGAACATTAAAAACACTCAACTGGCCTTGTGCTCAATAAAATCTTCTGATGTTGATTTGTGCCTTTATGGCTACCTGCATTGATGATTTTAAACTGATGGTATGTTCTATTGTGATCTATTGCTATATTTTCTTCATGCAACCATCAGTTTACAGAATGCTTCAATGTTTTCAAAAAATACCATATCAAAACACCATTGCTGATGTTGTTTTCAGTTCTGCACAGTGGAGGGCTTCATCACTGCTCTGGTGGATGAATTCCCACGGCTGCTCAGGAAAAGAAGAGAGATTTTCATTGCATGTGTTTGCGTTGTGTCCTACGCCATTGGGCTGTCCAATATCACGCAGGTAAATCAATGAAGGAAGCAGATGATGAGATGTTTGACCAGAAGTTGTATATTAATATGAGTGCAGGCTGCAGGGCCTTGTATTGATTTTCTTGCTGTGTTTTAGGGTGGCCTCTATGTGTTTAAGCTCTTCGACTATTACTCAGCCAGTGGAATGTGTCTGCTCTTCCTGGTGTTCTTTGAGTGTATCTCAATCTCCTGGTGCTATGGTGAGTCCTTTTTACGTCCTCTTAAAATCAGTATTTTGCATTGTGCTTCGTACTTAGCATTGCATAGCATTATAAAAATGGACAGAAGTACTTTGGTTGTTAGTCATAAATATTCCTGTCATAAATAAACATACATAAATAAACAAAATAGTCATAAATAAACAACACAAGTGTATCCAGTGGGACAGGCCCGCAAAATGACATCAATTGTTGCAAAAAAAATATATATATATATATATATATATATTTGTTTGCATAAATAATGAAGAACAATCAATTGCATTACTTTTAATTTGAGATATTTTTGTTAATTGCATGTGATGAATTTTGAATCGGGCTGTCAATATAATATTATATAGGGTTGGATAATATAATGCAACCAACCAATCAACATGCATGTACGACACAGAAACTTAAACTAAATTTGGTAACCACAGTCCTATAGAAGACCGGTTTAGATTACAAATATGTGTTGAAGATTATGTCAGTCATTGTTATGGCAAAGCAGATCTACTTTGATCTTGGTTTGCCTATAGTTTCTATTTCTTTCTTGGTGATGCTACTATCATTTGGGACTGCTACATTACCCCTGCCTTTTTTTTCTGCGAGTTTCTGTACATTATTCTTGATGACTTGGTTGTGAATGTAGTGTTAGTTACTGCCTGCTTTCTTTTAGAGTCTGGACCTTGAGTAACTACCATTGTTGACCCTGTATACAGTATGTCCCTCATTAAGTCTGTTACTATCATTAGTGCTTCTGTTTTCTCTCTGTCCTAAACTAAAGCCAGTTGATTTCTCAATGTTTGCCACCTTCGCTGTCTGGTAGTGTGATATTGTAGGGAAGGGCCTGTTTTTCCATGGAACTTCTTAGTATTTTTTACAATTTTAGTCCAATCTTTGCATCAGCAGCTGATTGGGAAACTTTACTGGCTGCTCATCATGTGTCTGATATACTAGATTTGGAATCTAGTTCAACTCCTTCTGTCCTTATTATGTGTTTACCCTCTTTACAAACATTATATCACACTTGCTTTAATTGAATTGAATTGAATTGAATTACATTTCCATATCTGCTCTAGATCATGGGTACTCAATATGATTCTCTCATCTGGATATGTTTTTTTTTTTTATCACCTCCATGTTCTATGGGTAAACTTTGCTTTGATGATTTATAGTGGCGCGTAATGTTACCACTCTTTAACAATCACAGCCATCTCAGTGCAAATGAAACATAAGGTTTGCTGCTTCTTTCAGGAAAATAAATACATCTCTGTGCATGTCTGTACAGTCTTTTTCAAATGCATTCAGATGTTTTCCTTGTCAATCGTCCTTTTCAAATGTCTCACAACAACAGTTAAGAATTGAAGGGGAGTGAAGGTTCTGGCTATCTTTTTTTGCGTTTTTTACATGGTTCTGTTGCAGACATTTAACACATTCAGTTTTTTTTTTAATATCCATTCATTTCAAGCCTTTATACACATATGTTACACAGTCACTTAGGATTGATTTGGATTGAATTGAGTACCCTTGAATCCTCGGTACTGCTTCAGATAGAAAGTTGCAAGATAGATGAATGTATTCCAGTCTATTTCTGTCAATCCCATTGTTGTAACATAAATGTCTCACAACAACAGTTAAGAATTGAAGGGGGTGAAGGTTCTGGCTATCTTTTTTTGCGTTTTTTACATGGTTCTGTTGCAGACATTTAACACATTCAGTTTTTTTTTAAATATCCATTCATTTCAAGCCTTTATACACATATGTTACACAGTCACTTAGGATTGATTTGGATTGAATTGAGTACCCTTGAATCCTCGGTACTGCTTCAGATAGAAAGTTGCAAGATAGATGAATGTATTCCAGTCTATTTCTGTCAATCCCATTGTTGTAACATAGTTGCAGTGAATTAATGCAGTCCCTTTCAAATTTCATCTAATTTCAGGTGTGAACAAATTTTATGATAACATCCAGGAAATGATTGGATACAAGCCTTGTCTATGGTGGAAACTCTGCTGGGTTTTCTTCACCCCTCTAGTTGTTGGTGTAAGTAGCCTACTTTTTTCTTTTTCATGTGACATTACAAAAGATAGATAGATAGATAGATAGATAGATAGCAATGCCAACTGACAAACTTGACCAGTGTTGGGGGTGACGCATTACAAGTAACGCGAGTTATGTAATCACATTACTTTTTTCAAGTAACGCATTACTTTTAAATTTACAATGAAATATCTGAGTTACTTTTTTTTTAATAAGCAACGGAAGTTACTTTGTTTTCCCATTTATTAGGGGCTTATTAATTTCAGTTTTGGTGTTAAAGGGCCTTTATAGTGGCCAAAAATATAACTTTTTGTTTTTTGTTATTAAAAAAACTAATAAGTAATCCCAGTCCAGGTGACAAAAAGTAACACAAACGTAACATAATGCATTACTTTCCATAAAAAGTAACTAAGTAACGCAATGTAGTTAAGTTGCATTGTGGCATCGCTAGCCACTTTAGCATGTATAATGTATGTTAAAAACACAATGATTATATTTTGTAAACCCTGTTAAAATTAGACAGAAATGTAAGAATCAAAGAACAAATGCAACATATTTGAATTTTAAATTGTAATTATGGAAATGAGATACAAATGTGCATTTACATGCATTTACAGGTAGTTGTATATGTGTGATAAATGTTTATAATCACTGATCTTGGGGAACGACATTGACACATTGACAGTAATATGATAAGTCTGGTCCACATTGCAAGTTTTGACTGAGGATTCGCTGACTTTTTGTTTATAACAATATGTCCTGATTCCCTGATTGTGTAAAGCCCGCCAATCAGATTGAGCTGTTTTGAAAAAGCTCTCGCCACTTTTGTGACAAACATTAAAAATGTGATAAATAACAACTAATAAGATAAAGTGCAAATGACTTTTAGAGGAACAAGTAATGTTATATATATATATGTTTGTATATGTTATATTCATTGTTTTGAACAAATCTATTGATTTTGTCTAATCTAAATCTTGAAAGATGTAAAAAAAAAAAAAAACAGTTGGAAACACAGGGCTGGCCATTCTGACAGATTATTTGATGTGTTTAAAAATTGTAAAAGTGTAAGTTAGTCATGTCAAGTGACATTTATTTTTATACAGGGGTGCACATAAGTTTTTCTGCCTTGTTCTCATAAGAGCACCTGGAGATTTGGTTTGGTCCTCACACAGCACATAGTGTGATCCATTAAATATAACTATACAAAAAATAAATTAATAATAGTGATAATAATATTGTGGTCATTTATTTTATTTTTAAAAAATAAAATAATAATGTGTGATAATACTATTATATTTCAAAATAAAAAGGGAGTATTAAATACAATTAAGTATTTAATATATGAATTTTCATCATATTCTAACTTAAAATCAGCAGGCTTTTATTTTGGCGGGTTGCCGGCAGGTAAGTATATGCGCTGCCGGGTTTGTCTCTGCCGATTGAAGAGTGTCAGTGAATGAAATGTCACAGTTTTGCATTGTGTTTTGAAAACGGCAGCAGAATTATGCTTTCATTTCAAATAGAAATTGTATACAGTATTACAGTTTGTCTTAAATGGTAATTGTGCATTAACAGCTGTCAACCATGCGCACCTGCGTACCACTTATGTCCACCTCTGTTTATACAGTGCTTTATTACAATACATGTTTTGTTTTTTGTTTTGTTTTTTTATCAGAGCAATGTAACATTAATGAACAAGAAAATAACTGTCAATTTAGCAAAGTTCATCATTTATGAAACAAGTTCAATTTAGCTATAAGCCCCCTTACGAAAAATACGTTTATTCAAGTGTGCTATTAGTATACTTCTTTTAACACTAGAACCGCCATAGGTCGCTGTATACCTAAAAGCGCCAGCGGGTAAATTTTACCCACGCACATGGCAACTGTATTTATATGGCTAAAGAACATATTATTTCACTGTATTATGCCACTGTCTTCACAAAGAAGTGTCTAGAGTCATGAAATGATTATGTCTAGTCATCAACTATATTTTTATCCTGTTGTTTTATGTACAAGACTTTTAATGCAGGCTACACTAAGCTAAAAAAAAAAAAAGCCTGCACTGACAACGGAAATTAGAAGGTAGTAGCCTAAATATTTGGGTGGT